TTTTTTTCTTGAGGGTTAATCGCAATTTTGACCTCGGATTCTGAAAGAATATGAAATTTTACGTCGGAAAAGATCTTGTGAAATTTTTTTGTTGACCGATAGCATAAAAAAAACTCAGTGAAAAATTACTTAAAATTCGCGTCGTTTGGGCGTTAATGATTTAAAGAATCGGTAATAGACCTACGATTTCGTCACTCTACCGCGTTGCCATACGCCACTTCGAGATTTGGTTTCGTTACACTAGCATACGTGCGACTTGAAAGTTTTTACGTTAATAACATTTCAATGGTTGGTCATCTACGCTTAATATTTTAAACTTGTACTTGTACTTGTAATTAGTGTCCCTCGTCTCACAAACTGTTAAAATGTAATTCATATCTGCGTGCCTTAATTCATAAGACTTTCTTGTTAAATATAAGATTTGTTTATGAATATTGGCAAATGAGACATTTCTTTGTAACGTCTCAAAAACATATTTGAAATATTTTTTGAACATGTATGTTGTCTGAGGCATTTATATCAAACATGGAATTTTTTAGCCAATATAAAAAAATTATTAAAGTTATTGAAAAATAGAAAATTTATTTGAATATATACTGTGATATGATTATATTTTAATTTGTATGTCCTTACCTGCAAATCGCGAATATGAGAAGACAGTACGAAGGAAAACTCTTTTCTTTAAAATCTTGCCTCTGAGCATCACTTATTAAAGACGCTATTTGCTGCGCTGAATAAGCGCCAATAAGCCATGGAAATCTGTTATGAAGTTGAATAGTGTTTAATCAATTGGAAAGTGATAGGGAAAAGACAAATACGAGTCAACATATCGATAATGATGTGAACAAATTTCCGAATAAGCATTTCAATTTTAATCTATTTAAATTCTCAATAATGACGCAATACAAACAAACTTATAATCAACATATTTATTACTGACAATTATTACAAATATACTACATGGGCTGAAAGTCCCGGGATTTTTAATGAAATCAAGCGTTTTTTGGGCAAAGTTATATTTATTCCTCAACGTAGTTGCCTTCGAGTGCGATACACTTGGTATAGCGATTTTCCAACATTGCGATGCCCTTTCTGTAGTACGAAATGTCCAAGCCTTTGAAATACGCCTCGGTTTCCGCGATGAGTTCCTCATTCGATGTGAATCTCTTTCCCTGGAGCCACTTTCCGCTTGAGTTTGGGAACAGAAAATAGTCGCTGGGGGCCAAATCTGGAGAATACGGCGGGTGAGCAACCAATTCGAATCGTAATTGGTCCAATTTGGCCATCGCTTTAAAGGACGTGTGTGATGATGGTGCGTTATCGTGATGGTACAGAACTGTTTTCTTCGCCGTATGGGGCCGTTTCTTTCTTTATTCCGTCGTTCAGTTTGTCCAATAATACTGCATAATACTGCATAATACTCTCCCGTAACTGTTCTTCCCTTCTGCAGGTAATCGATGAAGATTATGCCATGCGCATCCCAAAAAACGGAGGCCGAAACTTTCCTGGCCGAGCTTGGTCTTTTGGCCGCTTTCGTCGGCTTTCGTGACTTTTCAGCCACTCTGCAGATTGCCTAATGGACTCAGGCGTATGGTAATGGATTCACGTTTCATCCATCGTCACAAAACGTCGAGAAAAGTCCGCTCGATTACGCTGCAACAACGCCAAACCGGCCGTTGAATCATCAACGCGCTGCTGTTTTTGGTCGACGGTCAGCAAACGCGTCACCCATCGCGCAGATAGCTTTTTCATATCCAAAACATCGTGCGAAATGTATCCCACCCGTTCTTTTGAGATACCAACGGCCTCAGCTAACTCGCGCAACTTCACTTTACGATCACTCAAAACGATTCAATGTACTTGCTTTACGATTTCCACATTTGTATCCTTCTTTTGTCTTTCAGAGCGAGGTGCGTTTTCGGTGCTTGTACGACCCATTTTAAATTCACTAAACCATCGATAAACTGTTGTTCACGAAGGATCAGATGTGGGATAACATTTCTTCAACTATTTCATTGAATGTTCAGGAGTTTTTCCCATCAAAAAACAATGTTTAATCAATATGCGATATTCCTGTTTTCCATTTTTTTTACGAAGGCGAAGGTAGCGACACTTAAACGACTGTAGCTTGTAAACGAATGAACGAAATGTCATGAAACTTCACACATAAACTAGTGACAGATAAACCTCTCGAAATAAATCATGTTCATTTTCTAGTGACGCCACCTTCCGAAAAATTCCGGGACTTTTCAGCTCATGTAGTAAATTTAAAAAATAACATATTTACTATTTTATAATGATGCGAATGTAACGTTAGAAAGTACGCTAATGTAACAAAAATGTATATTTATTTTATAGGAGATATTTATATTTTAAACGGAGAAATTATTTTATAAACTTTCTGCTTATCCTTACGAATCGTTCATTATAAAAATAGAACAATAAACTTACCTTAGTCTTGCGTTTTTGTCCAAACCGGTAGTTACCAAACCCGGCAAAATGGTAGTAAATTTGACAGAAGATTTTCCTTTACTATACATACGCAATTCTTCGCTAACAGTCTCCATAAGTGCTATAATATAAAGGACATCTGATACAACGTGATGCAACATTTAAAACTCATGAAACTGAACAATATTAAAACTCATGAAACTGAACAATATCGTATTTTAGATTAGAGATAAATTAACATGGAAAAATTGTATCATCTTGAACATTTCTAAAACTATAATAGATACATATGTGTGACTGCGAGACAAAATCAGCCAGACAGATCGGTACTTGTTTGTTAATTCCTTGCTGACTTTCACTGTTCACGAAACGTGCACGTGTACAGAAGCAGGAATTACTTCCTTCCTCAGGTAAGTTTCATTGCATACATAAAATCTGATTATATATTTTTCTTTCTAAATGGCAAAGATATAATATATTATTTTAATAGTGATCTATTGAGTGAGTGCAAAAGTGCATGCGGAGTTTGTGAGTAAAAGTCAGGCAGTGATTAGGCAAACAAAGTTATTTATTCAATCACTGATATATTCTCCATCGTTGTCTATAATCTTTTTCCAACGTTCTGGCAG